GGGAAGCTACTACTTGTGACGCCAGCATCTCAGATCCGAGCACCAGTTCGAGTCCTGGCTACTCTGCTTCTGATCCAGCTCCCTGCTGATGCGCCTGGGGAAGCAGCAGAAGAGGCTGGTCCAAGGCCTTGGGACCCTCATGGGAAACCCGGCTTCAAGTGGGGCTGCCCTTTGAGAAGTGAACCAGCCAATGGAAGGCCTCTCTCCCTCTCCCTCTCTATTTGAAAGGGCAGCAGAGAGAGAGAAAGAAGTCTTTAAAAAAAAAAAATGTTGACCCTACAGAGCCGAGCTCAGACATTATCAGCAGCCTAACGCTCAGGTTGCCACAGCGTAACTCAGCAAAGCCTGGGGTCTCTGTGGGCACAGGAGCTCCACTGCCCAGGCTGGCCCACACCAGAGCCTGTGATGCTCTGATGGCCCTGAGAGCCCAGCAGCCAGGACAGGGCGGTGTTGAGGACCGGGCATCCTTGCCAGGCAGTGTCCCTGGGTGACCTTACTACGGGGTCTGCAGCACGGGGAATGGAGAGGGGGTCTTCCCAGCCACGGTGGGCGGCGGGTGAGGGGAGCTCGGAGGGACTCAAGGTTTGAGATTCGCAGCTCTGGCTAAGTCTGCCTCGATGTCCCCGATTCAAGTCTCCACTTCTCATGGCTTCCCAACCAATGCCTTTACATCTGCTAAAGAGATAGGCTGTGAATTCCACTGACTTGGAATAATGCAACCCACGTGGTTAAATTACATGAGGTTACAAGAAACACATTTCTTACTGACTGTTTTAGTGTTTTTTTTTTTTTTTTAAATTTTATTTTAAAGGGAGAGAGAGAGAATCTTTATCCACTGGTTTACTCCTGTAGCCACAGGATAACACAGTTGGTGCCAAGGTCAGTGATGCCTTACCTGACCCCAACCGGGAACAATTAAATAGCTACATTTTTCAAAGAAAAAAAGTTTTAAAAACTGGCTGATTGGCCAGCCGCTCCTCGCTCCTTGATCCTCAGTACCTGCTTTCTGCCCTGCACAAGCCCGCAAGCATAATTAAATGACTGATAAGAAGAGAGGTTTTGCCTTTAACCCTACCCCCGCCCCCAACTGGGCGCTGTCTTCTCCAGACTTGCTCTGGGAGAGGGCAGTCACCAGCTGGCTAATAAAGACTCCTAATTTGACCTCGAAATCTCGCTGTTTTTAATCTGTGAGCTCCACAACAGGAGAACCCAGGGGAGGGCTGGAATTGCTAAATGTTAGACGCATACAGGAGACCATCCCTGGAGCAGAAACTGGGACTCCCCTGGGGTCAGCGTCCCCGAGCTGGGAGGAGGGTCCCGGGGGCCTGAACCCCAGCCTACAGCCAGCACTGTGAGCTGTGAGCCCCAGAATCTCTGCTCAGCCCTCGGCCGCCCAGCAGCCGCTCTCCCAGGCCTCCAAGTCTCGTCTGCGCTTGCGCAGCACAGGGCCAGCCACGTCCATGACATCCGGGGTCCCCTCTGTGGCTCCTCCCTCTTCTGTGTCTTGCACCCCCAAACGCCAGCCGCCACAGCCTTGAACGCTGACCTCTGCCTCTGACATTCTCGCGGCATGCCCAGGCGCCCTTCCCTGCACGTGGCCTGTGGAAGTCGTCTCCGGTAGCTCAACTCGCATGGATCACAGCCCCGTGCGTGCGGGAACACCGTCCCGGGCCCGCCTGCAGCAGTTTTCTTTCTTCGTCCGGGGTTCGTAGTTGTTTAGGGTACGAGGAAAAATCCTCCATCCTCCTGCCCTGCTGCTCAGCATCTCGGCAGAGCTCTGCGCACACCACTGCGCCACATTCCCTGGCACACGGCGATGGAGGTGAAATCTGGCTCCTTCCAACCCCAGCCGCACTCACGCAGGCTTCTCTCTAGAAGGTTCACCCCCTCTGCTTTCTAAACGGAGAGGGGAGGGCTGGAGACGTGGATTCCAGGTCACCTCCGCCTTGAGCAGGGGCTCAGACATTAAGCTCCGCATCTGCTCCCTGGAGCTCCTCCATCCTCTTCCTCTCTCCACGCCCACGGGAGCCACCACTGCATCGGGACCTTCTCACCCACTGCTGCTGCTGCTGGGTGCACCTGCGCCCGCCTTAACTGAGGCCCCGGGCAGCTTCCTCCACGTGTGCTCGCACTCAGCCTCCCCACCCTTGCTGCTTAATTACTTACCCTGTGCCCGGGATCTCACCATCTGCCAGACAAGTGAGGCCTTCCACCCTCTTCCCTGCTGGGAGAACTCAGCCCCCCTTTTTCCCATCATCCCACGGGACAGTGGTAATTGGTGCCCTGGGAACCAGAAGGAAGAAAAAGCAAGAATGTAGCTGCTGGGGTGTGGGCTGGCAGACAATTTTAAAAGGAAACAGACAGCGCCTGATTACTTTCAAAGGGGAGGGGTGAGTTCCTTTGATGCCCCTGGCTGTGACTCTCCCCCCTTAACTCACCAGGAGTCACTGCCTAACCAGTGCTCTCCTACTTTGAAGAAGTATGCAAATCAGATGTAAATAGGCCTCTGGGCCACCGTGTCCCCCAACAGCAGCTCACATCAATTTCATGACAATGACATCCATCCTTCTGCTGCTGCTCCTTCAGGGTTTGCATCAAGAGCAGGCAGACCAGCGCCGCATCCATTTATTCGCTGAGCACATTTTGTCCAAGCCTCATTATATTACGGGCACAGCAGCCCATCCGCTGTAAGCCACTGGGAAGCCTGACGTGACAATGAGGAAGGCATCCCTGCAAAGCGGCACAGAGTTTGTCTCTGGTTTCCCAATGCTGCTTTGCTCCTTTCACACCGTGTTTTCTTCCCATCAGGAAACACTCTCGCCTTTTCGAATGTGCACAGAGAATCAGGCTCCTGCTGCTCACAGCTGCTCAGCCGGTTCACCAGAGCCCAAGCTGGCATCTTGGGGGACCCAAAACATGCTCATTTCCTCCAACAAGCCAGCAAAAAGGGGTTTGAAGTGGCGGGGCAGCTGCAGGTGGGGGTTAGTGGCTCATCAAGCAGGCTCCAGACCAGAGCTCTCCATCAGCGAGATCCAGGGCATCAGCCAGGTGGAGGCGTCCCCGTGATGGAGCTCAGCTGTGCCCAGTGGACGGCTGCATACTTTCTCCCCGGCTGGGCTGAGCGTGAGCTCTGCCTGCCTTTCCAGGCCCTCCCCTGCATCTCGCATGCACATATCACTATTCACTTGGGCACAGGTAAGCAACAACACCAGGAGCCGGCCCTTGTCCGTGGAAATATGAAAAGGGAAGATGCCTTCACCGGGGTTGCACCCACATTCCTGCGTTTACAAATATGTCCCCGCGCTAGATGTGCATTTTAAAATTGCTATTTCACTGAACAATCTATTATGAGTATCTTCATTTCCGCCTGCCTTCACGTCCTCCCTCACGCTCAATTTTGCTTTCACTATCTTCTATTTTTGAATGTACTGTTGCTAGTCTTTGCCTATCTGTGAGCAACGAAAAGTTTCTGCTCTGGTGACCCCAGGATGACCTCTTCCTCCCAGGAGGGAGTTGCAGGAGGGGCCCGAGACCAAGGGTCGGGGGCGCTCTGCCGGGCACTGCAGGCAGAGGCGGCAGCCTCCTGGTTGAGTCCACAGATCATCCACAAGGCCTGACAGCTGTCACATGGGCTTTCCCACCCCTGCTCTATTTGTGCTTCCGGCCACTCCAGTCCTCCCTCAGGGTCCCGACCACACCGTCCAGGTGGCTGACGGTAAGCTAAGAGCCATAGCAGGCCGGGCAGGCCACCTTGCGCTGACCACCTCGAGGGGGGTTCCCCCAGGTGACTGCAAACTGGGAAGGCCCTGGGCTTGAGAAGCATCCCGCACCTCTGGGGGTTGGCAGAGAACTAGAAGAGAAGGGACAGGATACAAGAGGAGAGGCTCGTGACGGTAGTCCCTCCCTCCACCCAACGTCCTCACCTGGACACCTCAGATTCCAGTGGCCAGGACCCCCTGAGGGCCGAGAAGAGACGCACAGGGCCCGGCCTGCAGCAGGTGTGGATCCATGTGAATCACTGACCACCAGACCCAAGTCTGCCCCAGGTGCGCTCCCGACGAAGTCACAGGTGTGCTGACCCGTGCAACACGAGGGCACCAGCGCACCTAACTGTAGGAAAAGCATGGAAAAGCACTGTGCAAACTGAAAATGACCAAGGCCACTTCTGCATGAACCAAGTCTTCATTGTATCTTATCGCAGCCAAGTCACTGGTGCCCTCGAGGAGCACCCCACTTTTGCTAGCACTAAGACACACACACACACAGAGCCAATTAAGCCATGCTCCCACTGACTGTTCAAATTTCAGGGATGACAGGAGATGGGGAAACTATGTGAAGTAGGTGGAAAACTCACCTACAGAGTCAGGTGCATGGTATGTGGCTGTGTGTGTGTTAAAGGGAGGGGCTATGCAATCTCACGTGCTTTTTTTTATAGCCATGGAAAATTCCTGAAAAGATACACAAGACCCCCCTCCTCCGTCCAGGGAATTCATGGATACAGTGTGGGTGGGAAGTCCTGTTTTCATCTTTACATTTATTTGTAAAATCTAGAGTTTTAAGTCACATGTTCCCTTTTTAAAACAAAAATTTGAAGACTGCTGGATGCAAAATAATTTATATATAGCATGAGATAATATAATGCAATATAATATAATACCGTATCCTTCGGAGGGGCGGGTTTTAGGGACCTGTCACTCTGAGCCAGCCTTGCACGTGCAGACGACATCCCACCCTGACTCTACCATAGCGACCCCTGGCAAGTTCTCGCCCCGATTGGGGTCCCCAAGAGTCCACTCAGAGGTCGGGGAGAGGGCCTCGGGACACCCCTCCAGCTCGGAGCCCCGCAGCAGCCAGAGGCGCACCACACCGCGCCGGTCCCGGGCCGGGGCGGCGGAGTGCGGGCGCCCCGCGGTGCGGGCCCGGCCAATCAGCGGTCGCGGGGCGGGTGGGGAGGCAGCGCCGCGCGCGCGGAGCGGAGCACCAAGCAGAGGCGCCTCCGCCGTCCCGGAGCAGGCCATGCCGCGCTCGCCGCTGCTCCCGCCGCCGCTGATGCTGCTGCTTCTGCTGCTGCCGTTGCCGCCGCCGGCCCCCGGCCTCGGGCTCCGCGGCGCGGGCAGCCGGCGCCCGGAGTGCGGTCCGTGCCAGCCGGAGCGCTGCCCGGCGTTCGCGCACTGCCCGGCGCCCGGGATCGCGGCGCGCGACGAGTGCGACTGCTGCGCGCTCTGCCTGGGCGCCGAGGGCGCGAGCTGCGGGGGCCGTGCGGGCGCGCGCTGCGGCCCTGGCCTGGTGTGCGCGAGCCGGGCCGCGGGGGCGGCGCCCGAGGGCACCGGGCTCTGCATGTGCGCGCAGCGCGGCACCGTCTGCGGCTCCGACGGCCGCACCTACCCCAGCGTCTGCGCGCTGCGCTTGCGCGCCCTGCACGCGCCCCGCGCGCACCCCGGCCACCTGCACAAGGCGCGCGATGGCCCCTGCGAGTTGGGTGAGTTGGATTCGGTCTGCGGGACTTGGGTGGGTAAAGGAAGCGGGACCCCGATCCTCTGGGGTGTGGAGCGAAGGCTCCCCACCTTGCACAGCCAGAGAGGGAGCTGCCAGGGTGCCTCAGTTTCTCCTTTAGGAGCAATATTTCTTACCTTCCTGGTGCCCAGAGGACTGGGGTGGGAATCCCCACCCTGCACCCTCCCTTCCCCTGCTAGTGGAAACACCGCCCACGGAGCGCGTGGGGATTTGCCCCCTTGGTCGTTTAAGTTCTTGCTGATGCAGTGATGTGCTGGCCAGGAGGGTGTGTCCCTGAAAGAAAGGAAATTGGGGACAGGGTTCCCACGGGGTCTGAGTTCCCCCACATCTGCAAGGCAGAGGAAGGGGAAGTGAGGGTGCCTGAGGACCAGCTATAAACGGGGCTCAGGAGTCACCACCATGCCAGAGCCCCACGACTCCAGGAGGGAGATGGGGCCTGGACCCTGAGGGCGCTCCCATCCAGGACAAGTGAGACGTCCAGAGACCTATGCCCTGGAAAGATGGGGTGCCATCTGCGGCGGACCCAGGTTTTGTGAGTCTAAGGTGTGCACTGCTTTAAGGAAAAGAACAGACAATCGTGACTGGCTTTGTTAACGTTGCTGTGCAGCCGGAGCTGCAGTTCTAAGAACGGAGTGGAGAGAAGCCAAACGTTGCTATGGGGGTATGGTGCCCTGCTTTGCTGCCTTGCTCGGCATGGGTGCGGCCTGCCCACTAGGTCTTGGAGAACTGCCCCTGCCTGGAGGGGGCGCTGGAGAGCCCAGGGTGAGTAAGCAGTGAGTGCTGAGTCCCACGGAGCCTGGCTTGAGCTGGGGTTCAGGTTTCTTGGGAGGATTTCCGGTCTGGGGCTGGAGACCAAGCCCAGGCTTAAGCGCCTAGGACAGTGTGCTGGCTTCAGCTTCAAGAAGGATGCCGATGCCTCTTCCAGGCTTCCAGAGGACTCTGGTGCTGTGTCCCCCGAGGTGTCCCAGGTAGATGTCCTCAGTCCAGTAGAGCCCTCGGTGGGGAGGGTGTTAGAGATGGGGCGATGGGGCGGGACTCATCCTGTCCCTGGAAACAAAGAGAATGATGGCTCACTGAGCAGCTGAAGCAGCCACGGAGCACAGGAAGATCGCACGGGCCGTTCCCAGGCAGGGTGCCGGGGGAGGACGGAGCTGGTGGGGTGAGAGTGGGGTGCTCCCGGGCTGCTGCTGAGCCACTGTGGGCAGCTCCCTTCTGTTCCCCGTGAAGCCACTGTGGAGGTCCCTGCCACGTGGAACGCTTGTTTCTGCTCCCTGGCGTTGAAACAGTCCTGTCGCTTTCCTTGGAGCTGCTATCACTCATTTGCTCCAATCTGCTTCCCTCAGCAGTTCGGCGGGCAGGTCTCTTTGTCTGCACACAGGTAACACGCAGGAGGCATCAGAAGTGCTGACCGGGTGCCCAGGCTCTCGGCGGTGCGGATGGCCTCAGATCATTTCTGCCTTGAGTAGTATTCTGTTCCAAAGAGAAAGACGCCCGGCGGATAGGTTGGCCCGCGGGGAAGGGAGCTGCAGCCCTCAAGGGCAGGGGACCTGTCCAGGATGTCCAGGAAGGGCCCACCAGCTCCCGGGTCTCCACACCCCGCCCGGGGCTCTCGGAGAACAGGACCCGATAGTATTAAATCAGGCAGATGGTGGTTGCCATGGTGACCAGAGTGCGGCCAGATGGCAGATGGAAACCCCATACCCCTAATTCACTGAAAATTACCAAACGACAAGTGAATGTGACAGCCCCTCGACTCTGAGCTCTGGGCTCGGGAGCCCACCCCAGGCCCAGGCGCAGGCCCAGGCATAAACATGTACCCAGGACCAAGGAGAAGTCCGGAAGCCCCTCTTCCTGACCTCATTAGCGACCTCAGACCTGGGCAGGCACAGAGGGGTGGCAGCCCAATGGCCCCTCATTCTGTGCCACCCTTGAGCCATCTTTTATTGGGGAGGTGCCCGGGAGCACTTTTTAACGACATCCCTGGGGACCCTGGCTGGCGGAAAGCAGAGCGAGGCAGACTGAAGCGGTTCTGTTTCAATATTGGCGGTACTCCCACCCCTCCTCGGTGCCTCCCGTGCCCTCGGGAGCAGCCAAGCCCCTGGCCTTGGCAGGGAAGCCGTGGTGAGGGAGGTACTTCTGGGGTTGCTCCCGGTGCGGGGCTGTGTTCTCACCCGCTCATCCTCTGCTGAGAGGCCCCGAACCGCCTCATGGTGGGTGCTCCTCGCACCAGCGTGTGCTCAGTGGGGCAGGTGCAGGAGGCGTCTGATACTCTTAAAAATTGCTTTTGCACTCATTGCAACTCCCCTGCGGAGTGCTCACTCCCATTTAATAGAAGGAAAAACCGGGCCACCTGGCTACTCCCAGTTGAGATGGGACCCCAGACCCAGTTTACCTGACTCTTCAGGTTGGCGCCGTGCCTGGGTGATGCCGTGTATCAAGGCAGCTGGTTGGCCTAGCAGCTAAGCTGTCACTCAGGACACCCACACGCCACCTTGGAGTACCTGGATAAGTCCCTGCTCCAATTCCGATCCGGCTTCCTGCTAATGCGCCTGCGAGGTGGCAGATGATGGTGTAAGTGCTTGGGTTCCTGTCACCCACATGGGAGACCTGGATGGAGTCCTGGGCTCCTGCCTTCTGCCTGGACCCGTAGCAGCTGTTTTGAGTGTTTGGGGAGGAGACCTGCTGGTGGGAGCTCGCTTTGTCTATCTCTCTGCCTTTCAAATACACAAAAGGAATAAAAATTCACAACCCACAAGAGGAAGATGTGGGACATTCGTGACCCCGCATCTCTGGGGTTTCTCCATCGAGATCCACCATCCTCTTGGTCCCCGTGTTTAGCCCTGGGTGGCAGCTCCTGGGAGAGACAGGAGTAGCCAGCAGAAGAGGGGCCAGGGCGTGGAGGTGGGAGGGCCTGTGGTGGGGGTGAGCTGTGGAGGCGGTGGGGGCTGCCCAGTGGGATGGTGGCACACGAGGAACCCCACGGTTATGTGGCCAGTGACTGGCAGGCTTGAGTGCCAGCCTGGAGGCTGCTGCTTCCTTCTGTCCCCAATGACTGGTCCCATTGCTCAGCCACAGGGTGGAACGGCCTCAGGACTGTTGCAAATGCTGCCGTGGCTTCCAAAGCCCGGGCTGTTGAGTGCGTGCGCCTTGTTTGTGAGCGTGGGGAGGGAGGGGCTGGCATCCTACTCACAGCACGTGGATGTCATGTTGTTCAGTGAGAGCTGGGGACAGGGCCCCAAGCCAAGAGCCAGCGGCCACCACGAGATCTACAGAGCCCAGATCTGAGACAGTTCACCTTGGTTGAAATCCCAGCCCCACTTAGAAACCTTGGTTTGTGCTAGGCGCGTTACCAGGTAACCGGCAGAGGCAGCGAAGGCCACTGTGTGCCAGGGACAAAGAAGGGGCCTTGCGCTCAAAAGCCTTTGATGCCGAGGGAGGGGATGGAGCGCAGGGTGCTGGAGCGAGCGGGATGAAGCCGCCTCTGCTTCCATGTGGCAGCTGGACTGTTGGCGGCAGTGCCTAGGGCTGTTTGGCACGTTGCTCCTTAAACCCGCTGGGTGTGTGCCTCTGCACACAGCAGCTGGAGCCCCAGGCCTGACTTAGGATGGTCTTTCCTCACCCAGCATCAGCAACTGTAAAGAAATCTCAGAGATATTTGGGGAGGTGTTTCCTTTTTTTTTTTTTTTTTTTTTTTTACAGGCAGAGTGGATAGTGAGAGAGAGAGACAGAGAGAAAGGTCTTCCTTTGCCATTGGTTCACCCTCCAATGGCCGCCACGGCTGGTGCGCTGTGGCCCAGTGCACCGTGCTGATCTGAAGGCAGGAACCAGGTGCTTCTCCTGGTCTCCCATGCGGGTGCAGGGCCCAAGCACTTGGGCCATCCTCTACTGCCTTCCTGGGCCACAGCAGAGAGCTGGCCTGGAAGGGGGCAACCGGGACAAAATCCGGCGCCCCAACCAGGACTAGAACCTGGTGTGCCAGTGCCGCTAGGTGGAGGATTAGCCTAGTGAGCCTGGGCGCCGGCTGGGAGGTGTTTCATTTGAGCCATTGTGGAGGCCATTGTGACTGACGGGGTATGGGGCAGCCAGCTCCCAGGCGAGCTGACTCCCTGTCACCTGTCCAGCTCTGCAGTACCACAGTCACACCCCTGGCCACCTGTCCCCGAGGACGTGGGCTGGAGGTCACCCTCTTCCTTTGCAGAGAGGCCCCAAGCACGGGAGCTCCACTGTGGCCCTGTTTTGCCGCCCCTGTGACTGTCCCCCCACCCCCGCCAGCCCCGGGTTCCGCAACACCGACCCCACAGGGCAGGTGTCAGGGTTAAAGGGGTAGAGCACTTGGGAGGGTCCTCTAGCGGGAAGGCAAGGAGGTGCTAGAGCCGAACCTCCAGGCTGGTCCTCCCCTGGCCGCCCAAGGCTGGGGAGCTGTGGCTGCCGGCATCACCAGGGCGGCACCTGCAGGCACCGAGCTAGCCTGTGACGTGGGCACTGTTGTAATTACGCATGGTGTGGATTATAAAGAGCTGCTACGAATAAGGACACTTCTTCTACATGTGCACTCGGTTATGTGACAGTCACAGTCCGGTGTGTTCTGACCGGGAGCGGCGCCCGGGGGACTGTTGTGTCTCTTGGTTGTGTTGGTGTTCACACCACCGTCTGCGGTGGGCAGAGCTGCCTACAGACAGCATGATTGTCCCGCATGAAAATTTAGAAATTAATAAAGAAATGCATCTTCGCGCGTACCTTTGACACTGAAGGCAGGGACCCTTTTGTAAAGCAAAAGTCGTATTTTCTGCTGTGAAGTCAGCAGCAAAGATGGTATTTCCAGGGCGCTCTTTCTTAGTTGCTCTTGAAAGAGAGGAAGAGGAGAAGGTGATTTACTGGGTTATGCATTTACGCCTGCAAGGGGGTGAGGAAATCTCATTTAAAATTTATGACTTTACACGGAGGAAAGGAAGACGCGCTGATGGCAGGTCCCTGTGGAAGCCATCGGGGGCTGGGGAAGCAGGAGGCGGCGCAGATTGTTCCCACCGGAGCCCTCCGAGGACCAGCCTGTGCGGGCGGCGGTGTGCGCATTAGAGTCTTTGTCACCAGGACTGGGACAGGCGGCCATAGAGAGTGGGCTGCCGCGGGGAGTGCATTAGAAGTGTAGGTTCACTGGGGCCCTCTGGCTGCTCTGCAACAGGACAGACAGGGGTCAGCAGGGGCCCTTTGGAGGGCTGATCAGGCGGGGAGGGGCCGTGTTTTCATTCACTGGAGCTGAGGGGCTCCGGACAGCAGAGCTGGGGCTGACAGGTGGGGGTTACCTCCAGGGAGACCCAAGTTTCCTTCCCAGGAGTGCTGGCCAAGGGTGGGAGGGCCTGGCTCTGTAGGTGGTGAGCTGTCTGTCACAGGGGCCATGCAAGTGGGGGCTGGCCGAGCACGGCACACATGGGCTCGTCCAGGGTCCACGGGAGTCAGCCTGCTGGAGGGCCTCTTCGTGTCAGTTTGTGGCTCTCAGACATTGTCAGGGAGAGATTTTGGTATCAGCTGGGCAGTGTCTGCTTCCGGGTCTGTCTGGAGGGGCCAGAGCAGCCTCCTGCACCCTTGGGTGCCATGTGACCATGTTCCTCAACCCCTTCCTCCTGCCAGTGTTTTCTTTGCCCTGGTGGGTGGGGCCCTCTGTCCTCGGGGCTGTCTGGGTCACCAGGCAGAGCCCTAGGAGTGGGAGACTCTGCCGTGTGGTGGCTACACCGAATGCTGCTGACCCTGACTTGCGTGCCCTCTTTCTTAAACCATGGCTGCTACCCCTCCTTCCCTGGTTAGATCTCTTGATTCCCACCCTACTGATGGGGAGGCCCGGCCTCTGCCTTTCACCTTGCCCTGCACACCGTGGGGCTGCCCAGCGGGGCGGCTGAGCCTGCTGTCCAGTGCAGGTGAGCCCAGCAGGTGCACCCCTCCTGGCCCTGGACCAGGTCCCTCCTGTTAGGTGCTGCAGGTTTGGGTGAGACGTCCCCCTGGGGAGCTGGGGAAGACAGGATGTTTCCACGCGGAGGGTTGGCAGGGGCCCTGAAGGCCAAGGTGACTGGACCAGGTTCCCACAGCCCAGTGAGCTGGGCAGATGCAGCGAAGAACCTCTCACCCAGAGTCGCTGTGCCTTCAGGTGCTGCCCAATGTGCCCACACCCTCCCTCGCCTCTCTGATGTCCTGGCCACCTGAAGCCACGTTTGCCGATTCCCTGTGTCCCAGGCTCGGCTCCCTCAGTCCCTCCCCTGGGTTTCCAGGTGGGCAGCTCTGTCCTTGGGGCTGGGGGGCACAGACCTATGGGGTCTTGAATGGACGCCTGGGAGGTAGAGTGCAGGGGGAGGGCCCTCAGCCTCAGGGGGCCTCTGAGCCACCCCCACCCCACCCCGGAAGGAGCAGGGCCCATGAGTTAGGAGGCTGCCCATGGCCACTGCACCGTGGCACTCTAGGGGAGTCGCTGGCTTGGGAGGCGAGCAGATGGCAACTGGGGTCCTGGAAGGCACCTGGGGTGGGGTGGGGGTGGGGCTGTTCTGAGAGGGAGCCCTGCAGCAGAGGCACTGTGGGACTTTGGGAAGCCTCTGGATCCGCTTGATGAAACAAAGGCAGAACTTGGAGGCAGGCAGGCAGTCGTCCATGAAGGTCTGGGAAACCCTCCTCTGTAGTTTTCGGCCTGGGAGCAGGCGCCCAGCAGGCGCATGCCGGCAGCCTCCCGCTGGGCAGGGGGACATTAGCGCTGGGGAGCCTGGGCCCTGCAGGGCAAACGCGGTGTTCTCTTGTCGCCTCCTCGCAGCTCCTGTGGTCGTCATGCCACCGCGTGGTGCTCGCAACATCACTGGCGCACAGGTGCACTTGTCCTGTGAGGTGAGGGCCGTGCCCACCCCGGTCATCACGTGGAGGAAGGTACTTCTGTTCCAGAACTTGTCTGTGTGTGTGCACGTGTGTATGAAAGAGAAAGACAGACAAACACAGAGAAGCAGAAAGACAGAGGTGGAGGTCAGTGACTTTCAAGCGTGTGTCGGGGCAGAGGGTTAGGAAATGATACCTTATAGAGCACCCCTGTGCCTTCACGCCGTCAGCCCCGAGCACTCCCAGGTGAGAGACAGCTGCAGCCCCTCCTTGCACCATTGGCCCCCTTGCCCAGCTGCCAGCCCAGAAAGTTCCGCTGCTTCTCAGGCCTCCCTGAGCCACAGCGATGTGGGCACCTGCGCCCCTGGGAGCTGAGTTTGGGAGCTGGCTGGTGGGAAGACCCAACCCTATTCCAAGACCGCATTTCCTGCAGCCCAGTTTTGAGAGATGGTTGTGGATCACCACACCTGTTGTCCCCTTAGCTCTGCAGCCCTGAAGGGTAGTGGCGATGGCGGCGTGTTGCCGCTGTCCAGCAGGGGGTGCTGTCTACACACATGTAGGTCTGACCACAGGTAGGATACTAGGTGCTGGGTCCCAGCTCCTGGTGAGGAAGTGGGTGGGGTAGTCGTTATCCAGAAATGCCTTCTCAAAGCCGCTCCTGGTTTTTTCCATCCTCTGAAGGTCACGCAGTCTCCTGGGGGCACCCAGGTGCTGGAGGTGTTGCCTGGGGACCATGTCAACATAGCCATCCAGGTGCGAGGGGGCCCTTCCGACCACGAGGCCACGGCCTGGATCCTGGTGAGTGCATTGTTGGGAATTGCTGGCTGGTCCTTACAAACCACCCTTGATGTTCCCATAACACCCGACCCTTCTCAGAGCTATCCTGACCCCTTCCTCGCTGGACCCTCCAGCAGCTGCGAGATACACGGGACAAGTGTGTGTCTCCTGAGACTTGCGGCAGTGGGCAGAACAATGCCTGCCCCCAGACATGTCCACGTTCTAACCCCCAGAACCTGGGGCTCACATTACGTGGCAGCAGGGGCTAAGGTTGCTAAAGAGTTGGATTTACCATAGAGAGCTTAGCCCGGGTTAGCCAGGTGGGCCTGCCTGACAGGTGGGCGTGGCCTGTGGAAGAGCAGGGTCGCTGCGGAGGGGGGCTTACGCCCGGCTTCTCAGCAGCCGAGGCGAGAGGAGAAGTGGAGGACCTCTCTTGTATTCTGAGAAGGCCCAGGGGCTTGGACTTGCCGAGATCTCAGTAAGGAAGTGGTTTTTGCTGTGCCCGTGGAGCTGTGTGACCTTGCCCTCTGTATTTCTAGATCAACCCCCTGAGAAAAGAAGACGAGGGCGTATACCAGTGCCACGCAGCCAATGCGGTCGGGGAGGCCCAGGCCCTCGGCACGGTGACGGTTCTGGAGCTGGGAAAAGACAAGTGGCCCCACCTTCCAGCCCCCAGGGATCATGTGTGACGGAGTAAGGTCTGTGTCCTGAGTCCCTGACAGTATTCCTGTCCCCATGTCACAGGAAGTCTGGGTTTATAAAACACATAGTAAAAAGGAAGGGGAGTGGACTCAGCCACTGCTTGGCCACCCACATCCCACAGCACAGTGCCTCGGTTCAAGTCCTCACCCAGCTTCCTGTTCCAGCTTGCACCAGCACCACCTGGGGAGGCAGCAGGTGGTGGCTCGAGTGCTTAAGTCCCTGCCATCCACATGGGAGACCCAGACTGAGTTTGGGGTTCCTGCCTTCAGCCTGGCTCAGCCCCGGCTGTTAGGGGTGTTTGGGGAGTGAGCCAGCAGGTGGAAGATCTCTCCGTGTTCCTCTGCCCCCTCTCTCTGACTTTCAAATAAATAAAAAGTTTAAATGGAGAAAACGCAGGGACAGCAGGAGCAGAAGAGGCTGGTGTTAGCAGGTGCATCTCGGGTGGGCTCTGCACATCTGTCGGCCCGAGCTTGGGAGCCGCCGAGCCAAGAGCTGAGAACACGAAGGTGTCCCCGCACATGGGCGACCAGGAGTGTTCTGAGAGAGGTGGCAGACGGTGTCACTGCCCACCAGGAGGACGGCCAAGCCTCACTCCGCTGTTCCTGGGGCTCTTCCTGTGGGGGCCCTGCGGCCTCCAGGCCTTGCCTTCTGGTCCTCGGCTCGGACCCGCTTGGAAACCCAGCCCAGGGTGCAGGGTGGAGCCAGGCAGCTCCTAGTGCCCACACTCGCACAGCGGGCAGCGGGGCTGCATCTGTCCCCTGCCTGCAGGTACACAGTGAACTTGAGAACAGAATGCTTTTCTTCTTTTCTCATCAGCCAACTTTCGCTGCGTAACAGCTCCCAAGCCTTTCCCGTTCACAGCCAAAATGACCCCCATCTTTGCTCAGGTTTCCCATAACAGCTGCGGGAGGGCTGTGGCTCTGCTCCCCGCGTCTCCTCATCCACCGCCACTGCTGGAGGAGCGGCCCCTGGTGGGACCCACCCCATCCTGTGGCAGAGGGATAGGCGAGAGGCCGAGCCACGCACAGGTCTCGTGTAAAGTTTCTGCCCAGGTGCGCTGGGTGTCACGTGTGCTTGCAGCTACGTGGCCGCACCCAGTGCAGATGGGGAATGTGGAGGGAGGTGTTGCTGAGCCAGTACCGGGGGGGGGGGGGGGCGCTGCAGGGCAGTGTCTGTGAGAGGCCCCAGCAATGGGGAGGGAAAGGTGAAAGTGTCAAACCCTCCAATATGGATTCAGCAAAGAGTTAGGAGATTGTAGCTTCCAGTTGTTCTCTGGGTAACTTGACTTTCTTGTTTTATATAGACACATAAGACACAGAACTAATTGTACATATGACCGCATTTTCATACATATCGTTACCTAGCCAGGCTGTGAGTTCCCTTGGGACATGCAGCCGTGGCCAGTGCCTACAGGCGTGCCTTGCTCGCTACCCCCAGAAATGCACCTTGCGATTTCCTGGTGATTGACAAGTTCTCCTTGAAATCAGGCTGGGTCTTTTCCCTGAACTTCCCACCCACTAGACTTGGGCACACCCCCTCCCCAGCTCCCTGCCTCCAGGGAAGAGCCTTGGAGCTAAGGATCATGGTTCCGGCTTGTGTTAACGTGTGGTTGATTGGAACGGAACAGGCTTCTTTTCTCTAATTCTTTCCCCCTTCTTCTTCTTAGGGTCTGAGAGACTCTGGTCACGGGAGGATGCAGAAGTCAAGCAGTGGATCATTTTGCTTTGGGCAGAGTTGGGAAAGCTGTTTGTAGATGACCCCTTTTGTATGTTGTTTTTTAAAATTAGATGCAGACTAGATTCGTATGCAGATGTAGTTTTTAGGAGGAAAACAGATGTGCATGTGGCTGTTTTTTATACTTCGGAAATGAATGACTCCAGGAGAATCCTTTCTGTAGCCCCTCCCGCCCAGGGAAGACCACAGGCTGGGGGTTTGTAATTCAGAGGGGCCGGTGCTGAGCACTGGCTGCTGAGACTCCAGGCCTCGCCTGTACCTCCTGCGGGAGCCGCACTGGCTCCCTGCCGTCCCTGGCCTGGTCTCTCCACCTGTGAATGTGGCGTTTGCACTGGGCCTTACCAGTGCCCCTCCTAGTCCAGCAATCCTGCAGATTTGCCCTGTGGTCTCGGCGTTCTTTGTCAAATGACATCCCTCCAAACCCGATGCCGCCACTTCCCGCCAGGCTCTGCTTTGCCCTGCCTTCCTGCTTGGCCCCAGGGTAAGGGGCCTTCCCAGATGCAGGAACCCTGGGATGGCGTCTGGGGACCCAGACATCCATTTCTGTAACCAGGAGGGTGGCGGGAACCTCATAAGAACACGGCCAGGCATTCGCTCTGGGCTGCAGAGTCCAGCGTAGGAGAGAAGGCTTCTTAGAGACACTTGCCCTCACCTGGCATGAAGCCACGTACATGGAACAAGAAAGGAGACGGTCTAATATCGGGTCACACACAGATCCCCGAGTGCTGACGGCTTCTTAGAAGTCAGAATCGGGGTGCCTCCCTGGGGATGGCCCTTAGTGCATGAGCACTTTCCCATCCAGGCCCCCGCCCCGGGAGCACGGTCAGGGCAGGCATTGGAGGCCCCTGGGCTCTGGAGGGGCGGCTCCTGCCCCAGTCCTGGGCTCTGGGGAGGTCCCGGGGCTCTGGCTCCCTTTCCTCCTCTAGGTGCTGCTTCTCAGGGAGACCCTGGAACCCGGGAGAGGAGGAGACTGCCAATCCCATGGGGGCTGGGACCCCTCCCTAGGATTCAGGGGACTGAAGTTCCTGCCTTTATATGTGGCCATTCACTTCTAAAGTTCCAGGATGCTAGCGCCTGGCCTGGGGATCTGGGAACAGGAGGTCCATTTGAATATTCATTTGCATGTCCATCCCTGGCATGTGGAGGCCCTCCGCCCAGCCCGCTCACCTTCTAAGTCCCGTGACCCTATTGGAATTAAGAAGAGAATGAGACTACATGAGTGGTTTTTCAAACTTTAAAATGTTGGAACCCTTCTTTGAATAAAACCAGGACTGGAATTGATCCCTTCGGAAGTTGGGTCAGAACTGTCCGGGGGCCCGCTCACACCCACCGTGCTCCCAGCTCGTCTGACCCCTGTCCTCTGTCCCCACAGTCTGGGGGTCTGTGGTCAGTTCCCTGTGGTTTGAATGGCTGGGAGAGGACTTGGGAGGACACTTGGTGGGACCGTGGTGGAAGGGATGGGCCCCCAGGGCCTGGGAGGAGGGAAACGCACAGGGCAATACACCTGCTCACAAGCACATTGGGCGCCACCAGCCGCATCGCTTTGCTTAGGCTTTGCCTGCGTGGCCTCTGGGCCCAGACAGGGTGGAGGGAGCCCTGCAGGGGGCGTGCTGAACATCAAGTCCACAAGGGGCTGGCTTTAGCATCAGAATTGTGTGCAAAAAAATAAATCATACCTGTGACACTGTGATGTTTCCACCCAATCCAGAAAGGCAGATGAAAATTCCGGAGCCCAGGACCTCTCGGGCCAGGAGCAGGGCTGCGGCGGCGGCTGTCCCCTAGGGACGCGCAATTCTCCCCCCGAGTCCCAGGCCGTGGTTTTCCCCTACCCTCTTTTCATAGATGTCATGACTCCTGCACTCTGAAAATCAGTGGTTTTGAGGATGGTCTGTGCCTCTGTGTCCTAGGGCAGCTGCTGCCTGCGGGCCCGGGTCCCACCCACACCGTGCGTCCCTTGTGCACCTTGCGCGTTTTCCCCTGCACCCATGGCACCCACCTCCAATCAAATGCTCCTTCACTCTCATAGCCACTCTGTTGGCACCTGGTCCCTTGCTTGTGTTTTTAACCAGCCCTGGGCCTCTTACACAGTTGCCAGCCTGGTCCTTCTCACTGCCTCTACTTGGTGTGCCACCACACGTACACCCTAGTGTTCGGTTCCCCCACGGAGACCCACATTCACGCAGGTCAGTGGCGTCCTGTGGGTGCCAGATACCCACTGACGGGAAGGGCTGGGCACCTGTACTCAGACTCCAGGGAGAAGTGAGTGGGAGGCCATGACCTGGGATGCTGGGAGGCAGACGACCCTCCCTTTCAGCCTCCCGCGTGTCCCAGCGCCCATGTCACTCCCCTCACATCATCGCATCATGCAGGCATTGTGCATCTCACAGCGTTGTGGTAGGGGCCTCCCCGGAACCTCCCTGTGACGGTTTCTGGGTGTGCCTGTCAGGTGTGCCTGTCAGCACGCTGCGACATTGTTAGCCCGTGTTAGCTGGTCAAGGTAGAGTTCACTACCTTTGGTGGAAAAGTACTAGACCTGTGAAGGAAAACTGGTTAACATCATCTGTAACTATGTACGCATGCGCAACCTCATAGCACTCCCGGTAGTGCCTTGTTGCGTTAGAACATCCAATCGAAATGCGCGCAGCCATAGAAGGGAGATGGAGGCTCTAAAAGGTGGATAAGGAAATGCCCCTCTTTGCTTGGGACTCAGCCAACTGAGCCCCATGCTGGCATGAATAAAGCTGTTTCCTGCTAAAGCCTCGGTGTCTGTTCAAGGGACCCTGCTACTGAATCACAGGGAGACAGGGAGCGCATACGGCGTGAGAGCGAGCGAGCCACCACGTCCACACAGCTGTGACTGCCCTGCCGTGAGGAGCATTCCAGGAGACGGCGCACGCACCTAACTGCCTCTCGTGGCCTTGGGGCCTCTGTCCTTCCACTGTCACTGTCTTACCCTGGTCTCTGTCTCCCCTGCCGGACCGTGGGCTCCTGCAGGGCAGGGACTGTCCTGTCCAGCTCTCTTCCACCAACCACTGGCCTTTTCCTTTTTCCCTACATTGAATGAATGATCCAAACACATGAGTGAACTAGGTGGCCTCCAGAAGCCAGCCTCACACCCAGATGGAGTCAGTACAAACAGAGGTCCTGAGTAGCCTGGGACCCGACTCTCGGCAGCCAGCAGCCAGGGGAGGGGCTTGCGTGGCACTCACCTCCCCCCTACCCACCACGAACCCCCACTTGTGGCCCCTGGGGAACTGACTCCAGATACGCTGCTGTAGAAGTTCTCAGCTCGCACTTCCTTCTCCACCACCTGCCCTGGAGGAGCAGGGGGAGGCTTGGACGGCGTGCAAAGGAGCCCGCGTGCCGGCCAGCACACTCATAGTGAGAGGCTGGCGAGGGTCCCTTGGACGGTGGCTGCCGAGTGTGAACAGCACCTGGCAGGCCGGGGCTGGACTCGGGGATGGTGCCCAGCACCACAGACACGAGTCTGAAACGAGCAGTGTGGGGACGGGAGCAGGGCGTGGCTGTGTGCTCAGGGTTAATGAAGAGCGGCTGGACTGAAGAGTGCGAAGCCTGGAAAAGAACCTGGAAGACGTCCGTTCCCATCCCCGCCCCATCCTGGGCCACCCTCTGCGAAGTCCTCTTTGGTTTGGAAGTACTGAGAACGAGATAAGGAAAGGACTAGGCATTGTGCTTCTGACCAGAGACACCCAGCTCACTCCCCCTGCCCCAGCCTGTGTGTTCCTGGGCAAAGGTGCCAATAGCCTGCCAGGGAAGCAGACCGAGGGTGCCCTTCGGGGGGAGCCAGGATCACGGTGCCTCAGACAAATGGTGTAGAGAGGAGGTCCTAGGAGGGGACTGACGCACCCCGAGCCCTCACGAAGTAGTTTCAAGCCAAACCCAGAGCAACACAACGCAGTCACAGCGAGGCGGACGGGTGACAGGAGGCTGGAGAGATGGGCGTACACTTGCGAGCCGTATGGCCTGGGGAGGCCTGGCCTAGGCCGAGTGCTGGGGGGGGGAGAGAATCGGACGTGAGGGTCCCTGCCCTGCAGGAGCCCACCCTCTGGCAGGGGAGACAGAGGCCAGCATGAAAAGTGCAGTGACCAGCGGAGGGACAGAGGCTCCAGAGGCAAGAACCAGCATTTATGTGGCTTGCTCCCGTCAGCAGCAAGACTAACGAGAGACATGGCACCCCCGGCAGCTCAGATGCCCGAATGCTGGGCTTGGCTTGAGGGCTGGTGTGCTTTGATAGCCCCTGGGGGTCAGTGCCAGCAGCGGGACCTCCGGAAGGAGGTGGAATTGCTCTGGGCAGGGACCAGGCCTTTTCTCCATGGGTCTTTTTTTATTATTATTTATTTATTTTAATATAGAATCTTTTTTTTTTTTTTGACAGGTAGAGTTAGACAGTGAAAGAGAGAGACAAAGAGAAAGGCCTTCCTTCTGTTGGTTCACCCCCGCAAATGGCCGCCACGGCCAGCGCACTGCACTGATCCGAAGCCAGGCGCCAGGTGCTTCCTCCTGGTCTCCCATGGGGTGCAGGGCCCAAGCACTTGGGCCATCCTCCACTGCCTTCCCGGGCCACAGCAGAGAGCTGGACTGGAAGAAGAGCAACCAGGACAGAATCCTGCACCCCGACTGGGACTAGAACCCAGGGTGCCAACGCTGCAGGAGGAGGATTAGCCTAGTGAGCTGCGGCGCCGGCCTCCATGGATCTTAAAGTTGTATTTTGTTACCCAGCCAGCAGAACACCAGTTGCACCTGTTCCTGAGGTGGCTGCCTGGGCTCCTTGCAGCCTTGAGATTCTGCAAAATGCTCACCAAGAGAATATTGACACAAAATGGCTTTGCAAACAGGAGTGAATTTATTCTACTTAACTTTGAAATGAAATGAATGTACATACCATAATTAAAGAGTACAACCCAGTACTTCCTAGTATATTTGCAAAGCCATGCAAACTACCACCAGTGTCCAATTCTAGAACATTCTTAAAGCCTTTCCCCAAAAAAATTCAGCAGCACTTCCTCCCCTGCCCTCCTCTCTCAGCCCCTGGCAGTCACGGATCTACTGTCTCAGTGACTAGTCTGGAGCCAGGAGAGTTCACATAAATGCGATCACACAACATGCAGCCTCGTGGGTCCGGCTTCTCTCACTTAGCACGATGTTTTCAAGTTCACCCGTGGTGTGGCATAGGTCACCACCTCATTCCTTTTCTGTGGCTGAATAGCCCAAGGAATGTTGTATGGAAGCATTTTGTATATCCAACTGATGTTGATGGACATTTGGGGTGTTTGAGCTGATTTTAAAGAAACGATTATGTAAATGTACCTTTTGCCTCAAATGAAGGTAAATTAGTAGTGAAATCAAGGGCAAGGGAGCAAACAGCCAACGACTCGTTCTTAGGAAAGCACCCCTGGTTCTCGGTCAAGTCACTGAACAGCTGGGCCACAATTTGGGGTCCGCCTTGCTCAGAAGTCCTGAAATGCCGCCCTGTCCTGGGACTGGGTGGAGCCTGTCTACTCGGCCACAGGCCTTGGCTCCACGGGGGACCGGAAGCCTCCGTCCAGATCCATGGCTTTCAGTCATCTGTCTTCCTGAGACACCTAGGGTTCCAGGTGATATGGGGGATACTCAGAGGCCACCGAGGGGGCGGGGGCTGCAGAAGCCCACCCCCAGCCCTGCTTTAGGGAGAACAGCTCTGGTTTGACTGCTGCGTTTGTTGGGGCTGCCTCCGATAGATCATTTGGAATGAAAAAAGGGGATCCATGATGAAAAAGAAACACGTTTGGCTCCTATGGGCCCCAGTAGCTGTGGAATTGTGGGAACGGAAGGGGGACTTCACGGCGGCCACTCCTACGAGTTCTTCTGAGGAACCTTGACAGGGACCGTCCTCACCTCTGTGTAGGCCTGCAGCCCATCCTCCCCCAGCTCACTCCCACTGCCAGACTCCTTAAAGCCCCAAAGGGCTCACGGCAGGAGACAACGTTGCAGGTGTTCACCCACGCTGTGCCTGCCTGCAGGTCCTGGGTGAAGACGGCGGCGGCCAAGCCACATCTGGCGCTGCTGGTCCTGTCCCGGGTGAGGACGGCGGCGGCCGAGCCACATCTGGCGCTGCTGGTCCTGTCCCGGGTGAGGACGGCGGCGGCCGAGCCACATCTGGCGCTGCTGGTCCTCTCGATCACCTCCTCCACCTTCCTGAACAGGGACTGCGGGGGCTCGGAGATCTCTGTGACAATCCCCATGTCACCCTGCATGCTGCCGGAGACCGTGGGCTTGATGAAGAAGCCTCGTGCCCCAAAATGCTCCCCACCGCGCACAAGCTTTGTCCCTCTTCCTGGCCAGGCCAGATGCAGCCAAGGACTTGCTCGACCTGCTGCCTGTCCACCTGGGGCTCCTACTGGGTGTCCAGCTCAAAAGGGTTCCAGGGCCGGCGCTGTAGTGCAGTGGGTTAAAGCCCTGGCCTGAAGCACTGGCGTCCCATATGGGCGCTGGTTCAGGACCTGGCTGCTGCACTTCCGATCCAGCTCTCTGCTGTGGCCCGGGAGGGCAATGAAAGATGGCCCAAGTCCTTGGGCCCCTGCATCCGCATGGGAGACCCAGAAGAAGCTCCTGGCTCCTGGCTTCGGATCGGCACAGCTCTGGCCGTTGCAGCCAACTGGGGAGTGAACCATTGGATGGAAGACCTCTGCCTCTCCTCTCTCTGTGTAGCTCTGACTTTCAAATAAATAAATAAAATCTTTTTTAAAAAGGGGGGGAGGGTTCCCGACTTTTCTCTGCTTGGTTTTCCCCATGGCCCTCTCAGGAAACTCGTCGTAGATGGATTTCCCAGCGAAGGTCCGGGAGCCGGCGCTGCAGCACTGGCCCATGTTGAAGAACGTGGCTCCGTGGCACCGGGCCACAGCACGGCCCAGGTCGGCGTGGGCCAGCACGACACTGGGGCTCTTCCCACCCAGCTCCAGCGTCACTCTCTTGAGGCTGGAGTCACTGGCTGCCTTCCGGGACAGGTGGCCCACCTCCATGGAGCCCATGAAGGCAACGTTGCCGATGTCCGAGTGCTGGGCGCCAGCTGCTCCTGCCCTTGGCCCCTGGCCTGTGATGGTGTTCACCACGCCAGAGGGAAAGCCGGCTTCCTTGATGAGGGAGACCAGGTGCAGCGTGGACAGCACGGTCTGCTCGGCCACTTCACAAGCGGGGTGTAGCCGGCAGCCAGCACCGAGGTAAGCTTCCAGCCCTGCACGACCAAGGGTAGTTAGTTCCACAGGGTGATCTGGCCGCAGACCCTGGCCGGCTCGGGCCACGTGGGGCAGAGTGCGTGCCGTCCGTCCATGGGGATGGTCCTGCAGTGCAAACTAGCGGAAGAGCTTGCCCTGGGCCAGGGTATATTGGTCTTGGGAAGGCTTGCTGTTGTCCAGCGAAGCCAGCAAGACACAATCCCACTCCACCGCATTGGGCAGGCGGCTCAACAGCCGGCCCTGTGCAGAGGCGCCCACGCGGCGCCATGGGGACCCTAGGCAGAAGGCCTCGTGGGCAGCTCTCCCAGCCTGGTTCCCTTCAGCCACGCACCCGAGGACCTCCGCCGTGGGAGGGGGTGACCGTGGGGAAGGTCTTCTTGCTGACTGTATCCTGCCACTTGCTGTGGACGAAGACCTGGGTGTAGTGGACGTGTGGGTGCTGGCTGGGGCTTGGCAGTGACAAGGAGGAGGACGGGGCAGTCCTGCCATGGAGGCAGAGCAGCCGGGGCGCAGGGAAGCGCAGCACACGGTCCGCTCCAGAGAGGGGCCTGCAGAATTAGGGACACAGGTGCAGCGGTCACCAAAAGGCCCCCGACACAGACACTCCAAGGTCCTAGCACAAACACCATCCTTACAGGCTCACATGTCTCCCCTCAGCCTGCCCTCCTGGGTGACAGGGCTCGTCTGTGTCACTCATCACCATGTCCCTCCCACCCACCCTCCCCCCGCTGCTGCTCCCTCTGCTCAATAGCTGAGCGGTTTAAGTGGAAAACACCATTGCCACAAAAGCTGCGCGCCAGGAAAAACCACTCTCAGTAACTCCATCTTACCCCAGAGGGAAGCCCCTCCCCACCGGGCTGTCTGTCAATGACCAGAAAGAGCGCAGGGCGCCTGGCTAACCCCAACCTGGGTGCCGGCTCCGACCGTCCCAGAGACGGACATCCTGCTTCACTCTGACCATGGAAAGAAAAAGGAAGCGAAACTGCTCACTCCTGTGCCGCCGACAGACACTCGGGGCCCGACCGCCTGTGGGGTCCTCCCTTGGGAAGCGCGTCAAAGCCACCTCTGGGAATTCAACATAAAGGAGCCTCTCCCCGGTCGCCTAGGAACTGCCCTTCCACTTAAGACCCCCGCCCCACGCCAACCCTGTCAAAAAAAAAAAAAAAAAAAAAAAAGGCAGTACAGACTTCATCAAAATAACAACTGCTATGAAATAGAAACAGCCTACGGAATGGATCAAACGAACATTAAGCAGCGTATCAATTCCTGGATCTGCGCAAGCTGCTACTCTCCAGCCAGGATGTGAACCCCTCTGCCTCTGCATCTCATGGGAGTCTGGCCCCCATCTGCCCGCACCCTGACTCCCAGCACACCCCACCCTCCACCCCAGTGCAGGGGGAGGAACAAGGAACTCATTCAGGAAAGCAAGGCTCTGGCCAGCTCCACAGCCCCATGAAAACATCACTGCCTCCAGGAGAGCCCTCCCCTGGGGAGAAACTGGGCCAGCAGGTGCATCGGGGTGCCCCAGGGCTCCATGTGCTCCGGGCGTGGCCTGAGTCTGAGGAGGAGGGTGACTCGGGGCCACCAAGCCATGGGCGGGTTAAGCAGGCAGGAGAGGTGGTTAGAGACCAAGGCTGAGCCTCCCCGGGGGTCGGCAGGTGCAGGATCCCTGCTCCTGAGTCATCTTCTCACCTGTGTGCTCCCCACAGCTCCCTGGGGCCCCTTAGTTACCAAGGCAGGCCGTGACCCCTTCCTACACGAGGGCTGCGGGGTCACAGAGCTCTGGGGACTCACTGGGGACACAGCAGCAAAGTATGGGAGCCTCACCCAGGGTGGCCACACCCCAGGCTTCGGCTTCCTCCTGAAACTGGGCTGCCTGTTAGTTTGACAGCTAAGGAGAGAGGGGGAGAGGAGGAGAGTGGGGAAGAAAGAGAGAGAGAGAGAGAGAGAGAGAGAGAGAGAGAGAGAGAGAGAGAGAGAGAGAGAGAGAGAGAGAAGCACTCCCCCAGATGCTGGCTCACTCCCCCGCGGCCGTGCTAACCTGATCTGGCCGGCGGGCCCACGCCCGCCCCTGACAAGCGAGGTTTTTTGCAGTTCGGCCTGAAGGCGGAGCGCCACCGCGCTAAGGACCCGGGTTCTCGGCTCTCGGGGACCCTGGCGGCGCCCGCCTCAGCCCTCAGCGGCGAGGGGCGCGTGCCCCGGCCTGCGGACGCCGGGCCGGACCGGCTGGGCGGCGGCGCTGAGGGATGAGGGTGTCTGGGTCCGCAGGGTTCATCAGAGGCCACCCCGGGGACCGCGGGCGCCCTGGGGGCTCACACTGTGCACGCGGGGGCGCTCAGGCGACCCCCCAGGGGCGTGCCGGGGGGCAGAGGCGTGGTTACTGCGGAGGGCTGGGGCTCGGACGCCAGTGCGGTGTGGGGCTGGATGCAGGTTAGCCTGGGGTCGCGGCCGCCGCCCACCCCCGCGCAGGCGGCCAATGGGGCTCCGCCCGCGTCTGTGGCGCCACCTGCCGGCCGGCCGGGGCCGCGCCCGCGCCTCTCCCCGAGTCCGCCCGCGAGGCCGGCGCGCTCACACGGGGGCTCCTAAGGCGCTCCTTTGAGGGGGAAAGAGACCTAGAGAGTAGCGGTTCGCCCAGGTTGCACAGCGCCACCGCCCGGGAGACTGGACCCAGATATATTTTGCACTTCTCCCTCCCGGCGGAGGCAGCCGTGACCTCTAGGAGTTTCTCTCCTGGGCTTTATCATTTCACCTGGGTTCGCTAATTTCTGATTCCTTCTTCCACTTTCGCTGCTCTCCTTCCCAGCTCCTTTAGGAGGATTTCTAATGTGTGCATTAAAATAAAGATTTACTTATTCTAAAGGCAGCCGAACAGGGGGGGGGGGAGAGAGAGAGAGAGAGAGAGAGAGAGAGAGAGACTTCCCATCCGCTGGTTCACTCCCCAAATGATCCGAACAGCCGAGGCTGGGCCAGGCAGAAGCCAGGAGCCAGGAGCTTCTTCCTTGTCTCCGATGCTGGAGCAGGGGCCCAAGCACTTAGGCCATCTTTGGCTGACTTCCTAGGAACATTAACAGGGAACTGTATCAGAAGTGGAGCTGCCGGGCCGGCGCTGCGGTGCAGCAGGTAAAGCCGCTGCCTGCAGTGCCAGCATCCCATATGGACGCCGATTCAAGTCCTGGCTGCTCCACTTCTGATCCAGCTCTCTGCTATGGCCTGGGAAAGCAGTGGAAGATGGCCCTGCACCTGCGTGGGAGACCCGGAGGAAGCTCCTGGCTCCTGGCTTAGGATTGGTGTAGCTCCAGCCGTTGCAGTCAATTGGGGAGTGAACCAGCAAATAGAAGACCTCTCTCTCTCTCTGCCTCTCCTCTCTGTGTGTAACTCTGACTTTCAAATAAATAAATAAATCTTTAGAAAAAAAAAAAAGAAATGTGAGGGTCTTGTCCCTCCTCCAGCTCAGCTGGGGTGTGGCCACCATGGCCGCTGTGGCTGCGGCTCGTTCACGCCGCCACCTGCTCTTGCAGTCAACGCTGCAAGAGTGTGTCTTGACCAAGAGCTGCCAAGCGGCCTCAGATGGAGCGGAGGAGGGGCCAGCATCCATGCTGTTCTGGAGCGAGCCTGTGAGCAGCTGGTTCCCTGTGACACCCCCGCCTCTCCACGCAGCGTCCACGCGGCCCTGGCTGAGCCTGCTTAGTCACGTGATTCTGTCCTTGCGCTCCAGCTCCGTGGACTCCTTTGCTGCTACGTGTCATCCTTATGACGGTCACAGCCAACCAAGCTGCCAAATGCAGCCCTTCACGAAGGCCCGAGGTCTTGCATCTTGCTGCCCGTCCCCGGGGCAGCCCAGAGCTGAGCATGGCGCTCCTTTGTTGATAGACCTGGATATTACCTGGTCGGTCATTAGCAGGCCATACCGATAGGCAGGCAGTCTATGACACGTGTGCTCGGACGGCCTTGGAAAGCTGGGGCAGGTCTGAGAGGCCAGAGGCGGGCAGGAGGCGGTGCCCAGGGCAAACTCAGGCCCTCTAATTCCCCAGTGGGTGAAGGCGGGGCCAGAGCAGGGAGGGGGCTTCAGAGAGGTGCAGGAAGAATTTCCCGCCAGAGCTGAATTGGTTAAGGACGGGAGGGGGTGCTCTGAAAGGCAGGGGCTCCGTCAGCCCTGGAGGAACCCGAGGAGACAGAGGACAACCGCTTGGCAAAATGCAGCACAGGGGGCATCAGATAGAGACTGCGCCGGACAAGGGGCCTCCACACGGTGGCGCATCAGAATTGCCTAGAGACCCTCCCCGCCGGGCCTTACCTTCAAGATCCTAAATTCCGAGGTGTAGGTTGGACTTCAGGAATTCTTTTAAGCTCCCCATATAGGCTGCCGATGTGCAACCGTATTGGGGAAGCACTGCCTAAGAGGTCTTTCGGGAATCTGTGGTTCCATCATGGCTGTTTCCAGAAAGTGACCTCCCCGGCCCCGTGAGTACTTTGTGTCTGGACTCCATGCTGCACGCCCACCCTGCACAGTTCCTGAGCTGTGCCTGGCATCAGAACACACCAAAGTGGTCTTCTTAAGAGACATCAGTAAAAGCATCCAAAAAATCATCACCTTGGCTGGCGCCGAGGCTCACTAGGCTAATCCTCCGCCTGCGGCGCTGGCACTCCGGGTTCTAGTCCCGGTCGGGGCGCCGGATTCTGTCCCAGTTGCCCCTCTTCCAGGCCAGCTCTCTGCTGTGGCCAGGGAGTGCAGTGGAGGATGGCCCAGGTGCTTGGGCCCTGCACCCCATGGGAGACCAGGAGAAGTACCTGGCTCCTGCCATCGGATCAGCACAGTGCGCCAGCTGCGGCGGCCATTGGAGGGTGAACCAACGGCAAAGGAAGACCTTTCTCTCTGTCTCTCTCTCTCTCACTGTCCACTCTGCCTGTCAAAAAATAAAATAAATAAGTAAATCGTCATCACCATGAAAAACTAAATAAGAACCTCCCATGATGCTTGGCGTTTCTGGTTTGGAGAGAAGGCAGCACGCGCCACGGCCAAGCGTGAACCCACGAGTCGTTTGTCCAGGGCGGACTCCTTCCCAGGAATGTTTAGGATTCCGCTTTTTAATCAGCAAGAAATAGTGCAGGCCTTCATGACAGAAACCGGGCCCGGAGCCACGGTGGGTGCCTGCGTGAAGAAGGGGAAAGGCGAGATAACCCCAGCCCGGGGAGGTCCGCGTCAGCAGGGAGCCTCAGCCAGGGTCGTGTTTACACGGAGCTGAGGCCGGGAGAGAAGCTACTGCCCTCCCTCACGGTGTCAGAGCCTTATATGTCCACGAAGCGACCAGAGAAGGTTCCAGCTCTGAGAACGAGGAGCGGGTCCGATTGGTCCCACACAAGAGGGCGCGTCAGCCGGGCTGGATGTGTACCTCCCTACGCCGGCCGCTCTGTGCTCTGCCCTGGAACTGGAGGTGACAAGTACTGGCTCAGGACGCAGCGGGGTGGCAGTGAAGGGAAGTGTAACACTGAGAGCACACTGTATGTGCTTTCCCCCGTGTGGCTGACGGAGGCCCCCCCCCATCCTTAACCAGTTCA